TATCCTGGAGTTCGCGGGTTCAGTGCCGTGAGAACTAGAATCTCAGTTACGGAGAGTAGTTTGAGCATGAATGACGATAAAACGAAACAAGCATTCCGCTCGTCAGACACGTATGTCACCGTGTTTCCAGGTTGTTGGTAACGGTAATTATCGCCGAAGTAATAACTTGTCTGGCACGTTGGAGTACGTCAGGGGGGGAAAAACGACGTCTCGCTAAGATCGATATGTCTGAAGAATCGATCCATATTAGACAATGCCATTAAATCGTCATTCTTTCCTATAAGTAGAATGTCATGAGACCAAATATGTCTTCATGGCGTCATGCTAAAACACAACTGAAATTATTTTATGGCTACTTCAGAATCAGATAGGTGAAGTGTATTGATTTGATGCACGTATTGACTTAGGTGCAAAACCATGAATAGGGCATTTTATATACTCCAAGAATCGGGTATCTGGAAACAGGCGTGGTTTATACTTCTGGTGAGATTTCAGTGTTTCACGGCGACGAATATGAAGATTGCTCTCTTGCGGGATGTAGCGTCTTTGAAACAAGGATCTCGGTTGCTAATCTAATGAGACTGGCCACATGTGGTCCATATCAAGGACGAGAACTTTGCAGTAAACATCGCCTGATGAAGTGAACCGCGAAAACAAGTTAAGAGATTACACTTGTGGCGAATACGCCAGAATTTGACCTTTGACCATTGCGAATTGCGCCTGAATTATCTGGGTTACAGGTATTCACAGTCGTCCATATATAGAAACGCATGTAGGTGTCCGTTATTTATCCGATTTTGACCAAAATATTGTATTGACATGTTTTAGTAAGACTCAGTTATACAGGCGATAATACAACATACTTTTGTCAACTGCACAGTTCAGTGAACGTTGAATAATTTTTTTTATTTCAAATGACGGATTGGTAAGGATCTGGAAGGAAGCCGTCATAGGGCATCTTAGAGTTCATTCCCATGTTTATCTGGAGGAAGTGTAGAAATTAGTGAAAACGACAGTGGGGTTGATCAAGGTCCGATCTGAGATGTTTACCCGTTATCATTCGACGACGAAGCATAACTGCATCGCATTAATTGAGGGCCGAAACAGTGATGTAGTGGCTGCACAATTGCGGAGAAAAACACTTCCGCTGTGACAGATGGGGTCCGAGATCATGGAAGCCGGAAGTTTCAAGGACAGAATCTGGAGGTCGGCCATTGACGATTCTTCTTGCATCAGTCAAGGCAAAGTGTAATCAAACACGCCGTGACAGTTTCCTCTCGAATTACGAACAGAACCTCAGTTGATTAAACCTCGCCATTAACCTGCCGCTAAGGGAAAGGAACGTTAATTGGGGGGAGGGGGATAGATGGAGGAGCAGAATTGTATTTTAATCCATCATTCCTTACTGCTCTTCATTTTTTCCCATCATCTTCCTTCCTTTCCACTATCGTACGTAATGAAGAAAATAATGCCCCGTCCCATCGTACCCTGCGTGATTTGATCATCTCAAGAAGAAAGCTGGATCCATGTACTTTGAAGTAAAGAAATCAGAAATTGGAGGAAGAAGCTGGTAGACAGAAGTTTAACAAGTATTGAGCCCGAAATAGGAATTAGAAGGATAGCGACGAATAGAGATTGTGACAAAACGCATAAAGGTGGTGTAGAATAAAGCGAATGGAAAAGTTCGGCGATGAAATATGACAACAAATAAATTATAAACAAGGGGTAAGTAAAGTAAAGTAAAGCGTCCCACTAACGCCATGTAGGCGCATTGGGGGAGTGGGAGTATAGCTCATACTCTTTCTTGACCTCGGCACTAGATGGGGGGTGAGTGGTCAGCAGCACGCCCCGGCCGGCTTTACCCCCGGGAAAGGACCCCGGTACCCATTGGAGAGGAGGCTGGGTGGGCCCCAGAGCCGGTCTGGACACAGAGGCTAGGGGAAAAAATCCTCTGCCCCCGTCGGGGATCGAACCCCGGATAAACAAGAGGTAGCAAAAATAAGGGATAGTCGTATAATTCAAAAGAAAGTAGAGAATTTAGTAAATATGTACACAAGACCAGGGAGGGAGTCATGTCCAACATTGTAAACTGAAACCAACAGACTAATAAATGACAGTGACGACCATCCTAATATTTGGTGAAGAGAAAATATTAATGAGATTTTTGTAGCCTTCCGTGACTTTATCCTTCTTGGGCGAAACACATTGAAGAGATTTGCCGGCCTTTGTGTAGTTCTTACCTTGATGCGAGAAAGTTGTCTTATGTTGGGACGGTGTCCGGTTCAAATTTCGACCGGGGAATCTGTTAACATGGCTAAAGTTCTCATTGATTCTCATAAACTTAGCATGGGAAAGCCCGAAAGCCGAATTATAATCAAAGCATTCAGTTAGAAAACCGTTGATTTTTCAAACAAAACCTGTGACAAAGGTGTGGGCCTTCGTTTGAACAGATCTGCACAGTTTTATTTATAATGGCCATTGGTAAGCGAACATAACCCTGTGTATAAGTGAAGACAATTTAAATCTTTGAAGACGAAACTCGTCTTAATGATGTTTGAATATTCTATCCGCACTTTAAAGAAAACACCGCTCGTCTTTTTCACAAAGATCAGTTTGTTAATGGTCACTGTTTATTCTGAGAAACGTACGAAACCCAGAAATACACCTTGTGGGCAAAATGTACAATTACTGATTGTTAGAGGTGGCTGTACGTGTGGTTAGTCACCACTGGGCTTGGAAGGGTTAATAAACTTTGTTATCTGCTTGCGTACTTCAGTGACCTTGGTATTTATATATTGTAACGAGCTGAAAACGTTTCATATCACATACAAATTATATTTTATTGTTTTCTGTTTCGTTTAATGTTCACCATATCAAAGCATACGTGTGAAATAAAGATTGTAGTTATTTTCGGAATGGCGTGTGCATCAAATTTTGCCAAAGACTCGCCAAAACGGCTACGGAAACCTATGAAATGCTCAAGCAAGCATTTGGGGAGTCCGCAATGGGTCGTGCACCAACTTTTGTGTGGCATTCACGTTTTAAAAATGGCCGAACCTCTGTCGATGATGACGAGCGTTCTGGACGACCATCTTCGAGCACAACGCCCGAAAATGTTACGAAGATCGACGTCGTACTATCAACGACTTGTGCGACATTGTTGGGATAGGCTATGGGGCCTGTCAGCTGATTCTAAAGGAAGAACTCTACATGCGACGCATCGCAGCCAAGTTTGTGCCAAGGTTCCTGTCTGAGGACCAGAAGCAGAATCGCCTTGACTTCTCGTTTGTCAGGAGCTCAAAGATCTTGCAAGAACCGACCCCAACTTCCTTTTTAAGCTCCGTGTGACTTCTTCCTCTTCCCAAAGATGAAAATTCAGCTAAAGGGAATGAGATTTGAGACGATAGAAGAGATTCAGGCAGAATCGCAGATGGTGCTTGACAGGCTGAGAAAGAAAGATTTCCAGGGATGCTTCCAGGCTTGGCAGCGGCGCTGGGATCGTTGTGTTCACTCCCAGGGGAACTACTTCGAGGGTGATGGATGAATTTAATACCTGAGATAAGTGTACGGGTTTATATAAGCGCAGTCTTGAAACTTTCCGATCGCACCTCGTATGTCTGTTTTATGCCGTGTATATTTTTTTTTACAAATTTTTAGAAAACTGGTAAATTTTTAATTTGGCTTTATTGGAATTAGCTGTTGTACCGTATTTCTTCAGAATTTGTCGAGATGCTTAGGAGATAAATTTTTCTGATGGACAGTCACGACCTTCAAAATTGTGCATTAGTTTTTTATCTTTGTCGAGAGAACGGAGATGCCATTTGAATTTAATGTGTGTGCTTTAGACAGCGTAATATTTTATTTCGTGTTTTTCTGTATTTGTTCGTGCTTTCCCAGAAACAGAGTTCTGTTTTCATTCGTTGTGACTGCAAAGGCTCTCTGCGTATCGCAAGTATTTGGATAGCATATTTATTGCAAGACCCGTTTCATTTTGAAGAACCTTGACCCGCCTATTTATTTATATTAGCTCCTCAACCAAAATTGCAGTGTAAATTTGGATTAGAGATCTGGAAATTTTCCATTTCTTTGTATGTTACTTAATATAACCTTGGTGGTTTTAGAATGCGGGTCACTTAATTTATATCAATTGAAATAGACATTAAACTTGTGCGGTGTTGCACCATCGCTCTTCGCCATCTTTATTTGTCATGCAGATAATTTTCTGCAGGAATGTGTTGTTTGGTGTCTGACGTTGCGTTTGAGTGGTGATCCTGGGTTCGATACTCGGCCCGGACTTAGCACGTCTGTCTGCGGTTTTACATACTTAAACGCCAGGCAAATGGTGTTTTGCTTTCAGACAGTTTTGATTTGAAGTCGTTAATGTTAAAAACTTGTTAATATCAGAGTAATTTTTATATTGTTTTGTTAAATGTGTTAGATTTGAACAATTGGACACTGTACATTTTATATACAAACGATCGTTTAACTTTTTTTCGTTCAGTTTTTTTGCAATTGTTTGCCCTTTCACTTATTGTAAATACATTACAACCAATGTTCTCTCTTCAGTAGCAGAAAATGTTTGCCCTTCTCCCATCGGCGAACTCTCAAATCATGTGACGGGCCACATGCGACCTGAGGGCTACGGGTTTGTGCCCCTGCTCAATATTATGTACTGTTTTAAGGAAGAAGTTAGTTTGAGAGGTTTCGCCTATTTGTAGGCTTTTCGCACATTTGTTTCGAACGTAACAAGTAAGGTTCTTTTGTGTCTCACGGCATTGAAGATGTCACTTTTGGTCTTCTGGGTTGTAGGTGGTTTACATCAAGTCGAAGATAGGTAAACCACTTACAGGACTACGAGATGTCACTGCCAAAGACAACGGCTGACAGCTCGTTGGTGGTTTATAATATTCTTATTAATTTACTTGACTTTTCATATTCCACGCATTCTGCGGAATTTCTGTTAAATGTGAATCGAATTTAACACTTTTCTTTGTTCACAGGTAAGATGGTCCATGCGACATTTGATTTACCGGCCTTCCGACTACATCTTAGTGATATGCAGAATCGATGTTGAAAATACCATTTTGTAGTATGGATCGATTTAAGTAAGTTTCCGGTAATAGAATTTGAATGCTGAGCACGCTTATGTGTGTATTGACACAGAATACTTAATTTTGAATGGATATTACTATTCCATACAAGCCTTTTGAACCTCTGAATCTTAATTGTGTAATTAGATATATTTTTTTCTTATTTCCATTGTGACCCTCCATTTCTGTCGCAAAGCCACAAATATTTAGGCATGAAATTCCGTAAGATTACGTGAAAGTTTTAATTTCACACATACGCGTGCACAGACGCATACAAGCGTATGTAAAGATGTTCAGTTGAGGGATATCTTTGCAGCACCGAGGACGATTATTTATGGCGGCCATTTATTATCTCTCTGATATGATACATGAGCCATAAATATATATATGCGTGAGGTTCGTGTGTTTCATGGCGAGCGTTCTCGACCAAAGTCCAACAACATATAAATTTATGTATACTAGCCATTCCTACTCTTAATTAGGACCAACAGTAGCCATATTTTGTTGAGTGGGATATTGTTACACCGAATTACAGAACTGTGGTTTCCACTTTTTTGTTTGATTGTACGTCTTTGTTTTTGAAAGTTACTGCGTTCGTCAAATCAACAGGGAGTAATTTAATTATTCTGCTAAATTCCGGGCCGATAACGAAGGGAAGAAACAACAGAGCTCGTGGAAATATCGAATATACTCCTAGTACGGAATTTATAAACGCACAGAATGATCAAGAAGACGAGAAAGGCGAAAGATAATGGACTTTGAGTCTGTGCAGGCGTTGAGATGTTTAATTGACGAAGACAGGAAGGGCAGAATTCTAGGGCCACCGCAGACTTTCAAGTTGGGAGAATTTGAATTTGACAATAATAAAAACCTTTTCCGTCGAGTTTCATCTCAGTTTTAGAAACTGATACGCACAAGTTACTTTCAGTAACACTGTTTCGTGGTCGTTTTAGATCAGGTTCATGAAATCACTTGTTCTCAGGCAATTTATGATTACTTTAGATTTTATGTGTGGTATTTAATAATTCGGTGGCATAAGCTAAGGGTTCTCAACCCGAGAGTCGTAAACACTTTGTAATATTGTAATACTCTAAAATGATACGATTATTATTTCCTAAATTAAATATTTAGCTCGAGAGGACTAGAAAACAATGTAAATACATTGATAAAAGGAAGTAATAGTAAGTTAGAAGTTGTAATAAAATTTTCTCGTAACCCGAGTCAATAAGAAAGGGCTAATGTGGCGCTGGGCTTTAAAATATTACGAACCCCGTGCCTTACACATGTTGAAAATTGGCTTTTTATTGTTCAGAGTTTGAAGAAAGGGGGCGGGACGTTCTTTCGTTCGAGGATCTTGATTGCTTTTTGTTGTTTTTCGTTCTCAGTTAGTTAATCTCTCTTTGAGGACTTCGTGTTATTACCCTATTCTTGGTGTGTAACCATATCATTAATTCTGCCAGTTTTCTGTATTATTTTAGTACATTTTATGTGTAGACGTGTTCGTATTTCATCTGCTATAATTTGGGATGTACACTTTTTGCTGTTGTATCTACCTTCTGGTTACTGTGAATTCAATCGCTTCAGGTTATCCAATGCATTGTAGCTACAATTCTTTAATTTGGATACTTCTTCACGTTACTGAGTGCATGAATTAAAGGCTTTCGGGTCTGTAAGTTTTATAGGCTGTGTCGTAAGCCGGTTAAGCCACATGTTTGAACCCATATTTGATTATTGCTTACATCGATGGTTTTGTGCGTAGTTAAGCCCTACATTTAGAATCGTCATGGTTTGTAGCCTTTATTATAAAATGTTCCGTTCTTTTTTGGAGGTAAATTATTGCATCAGTGTCTCAAGCACAGTATTCGTGTGTAAGCCTGTTAGTGTAATTTTTAAGAAATTCAAATCTCCTGTACAACAGATTAAATCACTAACTTCATGGAACGACGTCTACCTTATACAGTTAATATTAAATTGGTCACGAAAATCTTGCATTTACGTTGAACATGTTTAGAGTCTGCATTCCAATGCATATATTCGCAACCTACTTATATGACGCTCATTTTAATATTATCTCATTTTTGCTTAATTTTTTTACGTCTTCTCGTAACTTTTAGGTTTTATGGCCGGCATTTGCAGACCCACGTATGTTTTCTCCCATGCGTGCTATATGTTCCGCCCACTTAAACCTTCTACATTAAAAACACTGGCAGTAATGTGCGAATCTTTTGAAATTGTGACACGCGTCACTGTGTGGTTTATCAGTTTTTTTTTCAGATTTCGTCCTGTTTTTTGGGTCCAGATATTATCCTCTGTAGGCTTATTTTTCCATATGCAGTTAATTTCCTAGTGTAATATATGATTGTAGTCCGTCTTATATTAAGTGTTAAATGACATATTTTTTCGATCTATTAACTAGCCTGTCTCCTGCGGGGTAGTCATGGCGTCATTGTAGCGCAGGGGTTAAAGGGCTGACTTTATTTTCGGTTTTATCGTGCCGAACCACACGAGTTTCTATGAACCGGTTGACCCAACGTGAATAACATATAGATAACTGAAGACGCAAGAAGGAAGCTGATTTGAGGCATATTATAAGTAAAATATAAGCTGAACTGTCGTCGAATATAGCAACCTTATCTCTGATACGATATCGTAGTTTTCTTCTCGGGAGATGTTTTGAAGAATTAAAAGAGACTAAACATGACCACACAGGTTCAAAAATAAATTATGCTGTTGACGGAAACTATTTTCTTTTTGTCACAAATATTTGTCTTCCAACGAAATTTTGCCAGAAACTATAATTTTTTTTCAGGTTGAGCAAGTTCTGCCCGCCGTAAATATATTTATGCAAAGATACCACGCCCTTGACATCGATAGTCCTTGACAACGATAGTATTGTCGATACTCGTAAATAATACGTACTGTTTCATCTGTTATGTCTTTAACCTTCGGTTCTGCTTTAACTACTGTAGTCGGGGCTAATCTGTGCGCTCGAAAAGTAAAACGTAAGGGGTTCAGAAGAGTTGGACAGGCGAGGAACCAAACGCTGTCCATACTGCAAACATTATTTCCCAGTGGCAATGCTTTGTAGCTCGCTATCTCATTTTCTACGTAATGCATTTGGTTTATATAGTATCTTAGTGACTAGCTACGGGCTGGACGGCCGGGGTTCGATCCCCGACGGGGGCAGAGGATTTTTCCTCTAGCCTCTGCTTCCAGACCGGCTCTGGGGCCCACCCAGCCTCCTCTACAATGGGTACCGGAGTCCTTTCCCGGGGGTAAAGCCAGCTGGGGCGTGATGCTGACCACTCACCCCCATCTAGTGCCGTGGTCAAGAAAGAGAGGAGCTATACCTCCACTCCACCCCAAGCGCCTTTACGGCATGTAGTGGACAAACTTTACTTACATCATCCTTACCCCTCCTCGACTTACCAAGTTATTGTTTCTAAATGGTTTTTCAGCCGAAATCTTGGAAGCGTTTCTTTTCCTTCATCTGTGATAGATGTCCAACCCATCGTCACCTGTCGTCGGTAGGTCTCATGCGAATTCATTTCAGTACCGTGAAAGACGTGTTGGGCCACAGAACCGTATCGTTGTATGGAGCCACAGTCCATGCAGAATTAAATATGTAGCCTTTTTCTAACACCGCAGCTGGGACAGGGAAGGTTCGTGAAATTTGTGAACACCATCAGTGTCACTCCCATCATGCAGAAAGAAATCTGAATTTTTTTAAGATCGCCGGTGGGTCACGGAACGAAATTGTTCCTTGGAAATATCGCTTGGGAGCCAACGTGTTAAGTTACCTTTATACATTACCAATATTCTTGGACTCTTTTTTGCTTCCGATAAGCTACAAATTGGCATGCCTTGATAGTAACCACTGTTGTAATCCTGGGGTTGAGATTAGCTATTTCCTAGTGTATCCAACTCTCAACTGATTAGGTTATATGATGTCGTCTTGTGATGGAATCTTCTCGAATATGCATCGATTTAGTGAGACAGGTTCGTCAAAAAGCTTTAGAAAAATAAGTAGTGTATTTTATTTTGCTTTCATTGAAGTTTACTTACCTTAACGTTTTAATTGTGCCTGTTCTGCCATAAAAAATGAGAAAGTGCAGAGGACGCAAGATAAGTGCGAGCTTTAGCCGTGTTCTCAAAGAGGGGTGGGAAGATAGAAAAGGCAAGACAGCAAAGAGTCTGTTTAACCATGTATAATTTAACTGAAAACATTTTTCCCCTTTTGGTTTCGACATAATCGGTAATAAATACGAACAGACTGTGATCATACCAAATAACGCTCAAGTCATTGAGTTGGTCGTACTAAAACACCGCTTTTCTATACATAAGCGTCATTTAATGGGAGCTGCCTACGTTTTTCTCCAAAATGAGAGTGTATGAGTGCGCTCACGCACGGACGTGTTCAGTGCATCCATGTATGCGTTTGGTGAACGTGTGTCTTGAGAAAACTATAGCATATCGCCTTGGACACGTTCATTTATGAGCACCAGCCTTGAAAACAAGTAGGAAATTAGCACGATTTCAACTCCACACATTTCATTGCGATTTATTTGTCTACGTTTCGTTTGTGGACACATTTTAAAAACAAAACTGATGTGACCTTTACAATGTTCTATTCTACAGGGCGTTTCATTTTAATCTCAGCGCATTTTACGTCATGGCTTCGCCGCTGCTCCTGCACTTGGCTGAACAAAATAAATGCCCGTAAAAAGACGATCCTGCGAAGCATTGACATTACAATTTTTCATTAATTTCCCAGTATCTAAGGCATATCTAAGAAAGAGTATCTCGAACGCAGCTAAGGTTAGTAAGGTTTACAGAGATCGGGACTTTACAACATACAACATGATACTTTTATGAGAATTATTTGTAAATACTAATATTTTTTCTTCAAATTTATAGCTCGTGGAAACTCAAGCGACGGTATTAAGAATTACAGTAGATTGTCTCCTAATCAGTTATCAGTGATTTGTGACTTCTGAGATGGGTAGATAAGATCTCTTGAAATACCGCTCTTAGTGACGAACGCTGTGCAGCACCATCTTTATTTTATACTTAAAAACTTAATGAAACTGGCAGAAAGAACTCTTAACTTCTGCCGCACACCGGTTTGTAAGTATAACGAGCAATGCCCAGCAGGGAACACATAGAGGACATCGCCCTACAATGGTCGCGATGGCGGTAGAAGTGGGGGAATTTAACTCAGGTTGATAAACAAGTTTTGCCAACTTCGGACTAAATGTAGCCTGCTCTTCGTGTTCCAATTTCCCTTCCAGCACACGTACTGGCTGCGACTGAAGTAAATGAGCCGTCCTCAACTTCGCGTCTGTAGGGACGAACCACAGAGTCAAACTATTGACTGGTTATTCAGCAACGCTTCGTCAACTACATGTTATACAGCGATGAATAAGCGTGGACGACAGTGGAAGGAAACGGGCGTATCCCATTTTGAACTGTTATACCGGCATTTGCCAGGAGAAACTGTGGGAACCCACGAAAACCCTGTCAGGAGACGGACTCTGGAGCTCTCGGCAGTGCTGACTACTTAATCACGACCAGGGAAAGGAACCTTAATGGAATACACTGTTATAACTGTGCTGGAGAGATTGTAACAAATGACGGTTCTTTAAAAAGAGCAGAACTCGAGCGCGTTCTGTTCAGAGCCGTGTAGCAAAGTATGGAGGCATTAGTTTTTCTTTTTCGGTTGTGGATCCGGTTTTGTACAAGAACCTAACTGCAAATAGAAATGTAGACAGTGTACGGTACTTTGTTTTCCTACTATAAATGACGGTATTATCTTTTTCCATGATTCCAGACGAAACAAATTTCAGCATGCCAACCATTTCTGATTTCTGAGAAATTATTATTCTTCCTGTTTCTTCCTGTGTAATTAACTAGCTTCTAGACAACGGAAGAAATTCTGTATGGACGTTATGCCATTGGGATCTACCCTAAAATCGTGATTTATAATTTCCTACCATACGGTTATACCAACATGACAGAGGTATCGACATTGGTACCACTTGTGAAAGGGCCATACGATGATGTTATGGTTATAGAGTTTTGTAAAATACGAAACTTTGGTACAGGAATGTTTGTATGATGTAAAATTACATGGCGGCTGCAAAAGAAGTTTTGTTTTGACTAGGAATCTACCCCCCATGACCCCAAACACACGAGTCCATTATCTTACCACAGTGACGACAAGCCTTGTGACGTATTTGTGTTGAGTTAGATTACTTAAAAAGACGCTAAAACCACGTGATTTTATAATTTGAAATTTTAGTTGTGTAAGTAACATAATTGACATACTTTGTTAACAGTTCATTAAATATAATTTCAGCTGGGAGCATTAAGAATTTGCAAAGAACGCGTGTGTATTCCGGAACGGATTACACTTTTACAATCTTGTTTATTAAATAACCTCAACGATGTTATGTGAGAATGTACAGAATGAAGATCCTCATAATGCATTTTTGTCCATTCTGTTACGTAATATCTACTACGCCCATGGTTTTTCTCAGTTACGTTCTTTATGCAACGTAGGAGACAAGTTTAAATAATCATAAAATTCAAACACACTGTACGCTTCATCTGTGAGATGGAATTAGTCTTTATTATCTCCTGTAAAAGGAGGTTTTCCGGCATTGGATTCCAACAATAAGTGACGTGTCTCTTGTGGCTATTGTTCCAGGTCTTAAACGGAAGCATAAGGCACCGCATGTTAAACGATTTCCCACGACCAACTGGCGATCATGTGCTCAATCACTTTGCAAGTAATGCTCATGATTATTGACTCTCAGGCATTTTAATTCGATGAATGAATCGAACAATAGCGTCGAATCGTTCTTTCAGACGATAAGAGGCTTCTGAAGCAATATTGTGTGTTCATAAAGCACCAGCATGGAACTAGTTATTCAGAAAACGCTGTTATTATTATATTGCTCCAAATACATAACAGGTGTTCTTTTCATTGACAGCAGTCTAGACCAGTGGTATTCAACCTTTTTTGTTCGCGTACCCCCAGATATAATTTCTCTTCCAACTTTGTACCCCCAAAGTTGTCGGTGTATAATTCAAGTTATACATAATATATAATCTACATCTAAAATAAATTACATTACTGATTATTCAGTGTTTATCATAAAATATTTTTTTTTTTAAATTTCACGTACCCCCTAAAATGTCTTAGCGTACCCCTGGTGGTACGCCTACCCCAGGTTGAATACCACTGGTCTAGACCATTGGATGGGAAAATACAGCCCAGAATGGAAGCGGTCCACCGAAATTTTCAATTATGTTAGGGCGAAGTGTATGTTACTTATAGAAAATGAACCTTCTTTTACAGGGTTTTGATTGAAATGAACTGTAGGCCTACTAAAATAGTACGTACTAAAATAAAGAAAGGTACCAAAATCGATAGAAAAGTACACTGAATTATTACATTTCCTTAATGGACTGGCTAAGACAACAATCTTCCCATTTCCTGTTCTATTTACCACTGTGACACAGCATATGTGGAATCAAAGATCAGGACAGTTACACGTTTCCAACCTAAGAAATATATGTATTCCGGGAATCGCGTGGACTATCCGGAATTTTAGGAAGAAGAACAAATTACTGTAAAAATATGCTCACTCCACAAATGTTCGCTTGTCGAAGCCTCTGGGAACGAAACCTAGGTTCGTGAATAAACGAATAAATTTAATTATAATGAGTTTGGGGCAAGTGACATATCACAAGTGAAGCCCTAACAGAAAACCGAGGTCGTCAAAACATGATAACTGGACAAACCTGTCACAAACTCAGGGGCGGTGATATATGATGACGAAATAATGATTGAGAGGAAATCCCAGAGTAATCTGCCCAAGTGTTACGATCACAAATCCCGCTTGGACTGTTACAGGATTAAACCAAAGACTTCAGATGTAAGGACCGTCCGAGCTGTGGGGCACGGCCTGGTTTTAGCAAATTAGCTTCACTGTTTGAGATTGAAGAAGCTTTTGGCATTTCTGCTTCGTGCAGTCGCCCCCTTCTCTACCAGCAACTAGAATTTCCCTTCCGCCACACAATTCGTGACCGCAACTGCCAAACAGGTTACAATTAATCGGATTACGCGTGTCCTCCAGCGATGAAATACTTCTGCTCTTTGCAGTTGGCGCTAATCATCATTCATAGGACAAAGAAACCCCTTCCGCCATCCAGCTTTTGTGCACTGCTACTGATACGATAATGAAAAGTGCTTGTTCTTAGCCTTCCTCGTACGTAGAGTCACGATTATCCGACCTAAACTGGACCGATAAACGGTCGGATAATCTGCTAATACGGAAGACTAATGAAAAATACAAGGGTAAATATCAGCTCAGTTAATGGTATTTTAAAATTATGAATAAGATACATGCGGCATCAACAGAAACAGGATTTAACATAATGTAAATTTTTAAATTGAAGAGTTTATTTTTTTAATAAGTTACTAATTGGTATATGATTCTGAGCCTCCTTCCTTTTCTTTGTGGCAAGATCACAACAGCGCCTGGACGTAGTGCGTGTGAAGCAACTGAGTACATCCAATGTGGAAAGTGTGTGGTGAGGGGGTTCAGATGTTTTAAAATTAAGACATTTGTAAAAAGGCTATGTGATCATATGCAGTTACACGATCGGAGATGATGGTGGTGGTGTGATTCAGCTTCGTATGCTGTTTTTTTTTCCAATTTCATACGTTTCTCGTGGTCTAATTAATGTTAAAATGTTAAAACCCTGACCACCTGCCTTATGTTATCTACCCTTTGGTCAAGTGTTCATGTTTACCGAATAAGCTGATTTTGTACGCATATCGATAGATATCCAGAAATCGGGGCATGACGCATCGGTATAAAGTTTTAAATATTAATTTAGACGTAGCATGTCGAATATTAGTAAGAATTATGTCGGTCTACGGAATATTTATTTCTGAATTTATCATCTGTCCAACTTACAAAAATAACGCAGACGTGTTCCGTTGTTAAACATAGGGAATGAAACAATTTTTGAACTGGAAGCAACAAACTTCTCGGAAACATTCGTTTCCTGATTATATAATCATTCCGATTTCTATTTGTTAAAGTTGTTCCAAAGTACTAAAATATCAAAATGTTTAAAAGTTCTTTATTACACTGGCCTGTAGTTATGAGTGCGTTGAGGGCTGTTGTGAAGACAATAAAGAACCATTTGGTTCTATAAAAGGCTAGGAATTTATTGACTGGCTAAGCGACTGTCAACTTGTCAAGAACACAGTTCCGTGGCGTTAGTTATGAATTCGTTATTGATTTTGGTTTCCGGATTTGTTCGTGTAAGCCGAATTTCTGCAGTCTTCAATTTCAGCTTCAGCCACAGTGTAAACAAGTTGGCTTATTGAATTTAAATCATTGAATCCCAGCCATACCCAATCTTATCGCAATTTTAAGCTGAGAAAGCAGCGTTGGTTGACTAAGAATATCACAGAAACAAAAAAAAAAAATGCTTTAGTCGTGTACAATCTTGACTCTAACCAATATGTAAATGGTCTTAACAAGAGCCCGGGCTCCAAGAAAACCCCGTTAGATGTCCGCCGTTAAAGAGTCCAGGCAAAGGCGCTGTTATGTACACGATCAGCTGGCGTATCATAACGGCAACCAAAGTTTACTGTGTTGCAATTATTTCGCGTCGCCTTAATTACCCAAAGTTGACCCCTCTTCTTCTGACCCACTGTTCTTGTTTTCATGGGACAGCAGACGAAACGTCTTCATAAGTTAAAATAAAAACATGTACTGGAAAATTGCACGTTACGAATGAGTACAAAAATGTATAGTGGATTCCTTAAAGAGAAAGATTTTATTGATACGTGTAAGAAAGTAGGATATAAAAATTAAAATCTTTTCTTATTTTTGCTTAATCATGACAGCTGCTTTAACACACGAACATGTTTGGCTGCGTTTATAGGGCATGCATATAGTAGACCGCGGATGAGTGAACAGTCTTTTGTTTCAGTGCTAAGCAGCGTATAAATATTAAAATCAAGAAACATATTATGATCACTTTTATTTGCTTAATTGAAGAACGTAGTTCGATTCGTATAACCTCGATATAAGATCACATTTAAGATTATGCTGAGCTTCTATGGAGGCTATAATAAATATTCAGCGTTGTACAGAAGGCTGTGTACATAGTAGGCCATGATTGAAGTACATGTACAGTATATAGTAGGCAGTGGATGAATGATCGCCAACACTTGCCTGCAGTGGTTTATGAGTGTAGAACTTTGGTAGATTGGAGTAACACATGGACTGGCTTGGCTGTGAAATTACCTTCGCTGAAAGTTGGTGCTGTTTAACCTCGTCAGCTTTAGGACGAATTTTTTTTATAAGAAAAAGAGCAACGAAAGAGGATGAGATGGATGGGGCATGAAGCACAAAATAGAGTGATGAGAATTGCGTACAAAATTTTGGTTGGTATGCTTGCAGTAAAGAAACCACATGAAGTACAATGATGGAAGGATAACACTATTGGGGTGAAAGGTGTGAATTGGATTTGTCTGAATATTTTCCATCGTATAATAAAATAAAAGTGAACGACGTCTTCAGGTACCTACTCTGTTGGGCCCAATAGAGAGAGCTAATCCCTATCTCCGGGTCTGGATTGTAAACTGATAAACTCATTTGATAGGTCCTATGACAAATAGTATCACGTTTTAAAACAACCGTCATGCAAAATTGTAAAACTGAACTTATTTTCTTACAGTTTCATAGGCCTATTAGACAGTTTGACAAAAATGTGTCGACAAATTTCAGTTCTGGTCAAAATCGGTCAATAACGGGCATTTTAAATGAAGGCTATATTCTTTTCTGCGCGCCACTGTAACTGGGAAGTGAATCTTCAGGGTGACTGGGTTGCCCTGGTTAGTGTGGTTGCCTGAGTTAAATGTCAAAGGACGGGTTCTGGCGAACGCGCCCGTTTCATAACTTGTTATTGCATGGAACGATGCCTGACATGATCTGAATTCGTGCTGTGCTGCGGAAGAAGGGGCTAAAGACCAAATTTGTCAAAACTGAACATGCACGTCATCACGTTCTGTTTTATTAACGGAATCAACCGAAAATCAACATTACACTGACATATAATACCTTTTATTCAGTTTTATAATGAAATATTGTATTAACCCCTTGATGTCAGTGGTAACTTTATGTCCCATTCGTAATCAGTAAGCCAATTAGTTTGTATTTAGGCGTTTCATATGCTTCTCAATGTAAAAAATGAGAATTTTCTTAAACTGTATTAATCAGTTGATCTTTGAAATGCAGAGCTGTTGTCTTTTCTTTGAGGTAGGGGTTGAATTCTTACATCGTATTTAGTCGAGCTTCGACTTCAATTTTACCATCTCCACTTCCGAAAAATTACCAAAAGGACGAGTGAGTATTGCCTGTGAAACTTCATAGCCAAAAATGCTCGGTTTCAAAGTTGGTCTTGCTTCTTTTGAGCAGGAAGAAAGCCCTGGGTTGTTAGTATAACGTCTTAGGAACAGCAGCTTCTGGCATCCGTTGATGTTCGTTCGGTACAGTAGCTTGAAGTCGCTGTACTTGCAGGTCATTCTCTTGCAATGCGAGGTTTTGACACCCCGAGGCATTCCGCCACCCGCCTAGTTCTCTTGTTCCTGTTCGCTCCGGCCACATCTGATTTGTTCCCTATGCATGCAGATTAATTGCACTTTTAAGACCGCCCGCATTTTATCTGCACGTTTCATTTGTATCGTCTGTGTTGGTTACATCTACGTTCTCTGAAACTCTTCATCTAGCTGATTGCTTTTCTCCATGGGAATGTTTCTGTCATATGCTTACTTGATTTTACTGAACTTAACTTTGGTCATGAAATTTTCGCCTTCTGTCGAAACGGGATGGTGAATACCGCGTCCCTTGGATGCTAATTCGCACTATGTCCAGTCTACTGTTCCACAGCCTTCTTTAACCCTTATAACTGCTTTAACAATCAATATTGCTGCATTTTGTATTCATGGTTTCTTGGTGATCTTCGGTTTCGTATGATTCTCATTGTAAATAGGGATTATATTTCTAACAACTTTATCTTTGCAATGGTGAAGACTTATGTTTTCTTTGCAGTACGGACTGGATTCATAATTTTTATACGAGCTTTAGCTTTAAAGGCTTAAAGTAAAACTCTGTGTTTTTAAATCAGTTGTTCAGAACTTCATTGTGAAGTACGGTATTTCATAGAATTATTAATAATATTTTAAAACACATTTAATCTTTGCGTATTTTCTGACGGCCTCATATATTCAGTTTAGTGTTGATTCTAACAGGAAAAGGGCACTCATTCTTTATACTGCATAAAATAAAAACATGAATGTTTAACG